CCAAAGACGAGTTCAAATCCAATAGAAACATTGCATTCTGTCTCATAATGATCTCAGGTCGTGAATCGAAGGCGTTCGTAGACAAACGAAATTCCCTCCATCGACGAGTTCGCTCCTGTAGTTATCATTAACCAGATTCCAGTGCAATATTTGACAATACTCTCAGTCACAAGTCGGAACTCACTTGCCGATGTCCTGCTGGTGTTTTTCGTAAGTACTGCGCACGACATGCCGGACAAAGAAGATACCTATAAGGGATGGAGTCCTTTTGTAAATTATAATAATCATGAGGGGGAACCTGAGCATGGCTCTAAGAAACTCAATCCAAGCAGCCAGTCAGGAACATTTCAACATTGACTTGTTCACTGTTGAATGGACACCTGGGATTCAGCCCGATGCCAGACACAATGGGAGTGTAACCTTCGGCCTTACTAATTAAGAAAGAAATCTATCTAAATATCTACCAGATTTTTGGTAGGAAAGTAATAAACATTTTTCTCACCAGGTTGACGCTGCTCTTCCTCCACTTCCACAATCTCCAGACCAACCCGAAGTGAATTTCCCCGAAGAGTTGTAGCCATAGCTGAAATGAAAAGCGTAATGCTTCACTACGGCAGATCCTCTTTTCGAACAACTTTTTGAAAAAAGAGGAAGAGAAGCTTATAGACGAACCCCTGAGCATCCTGACCACATCCTGGATGATTCATTCGCATGTGCATTGTCACCGGAACCTTGAATGTACAATCGCACAGCTCACAACCACCGCCGGATGCCTGAAAAATCTTAGAAATTTTAAACTAACATGGAGCATCAACACAAGCAGATTTTCGGATCGTTCGTCGGGACCGTTAATTGCAGTGAAAGTACATGAAGGGTATGTTAATGGAATTTATAAAGCCGATTAAAATAGATTTTTCTCGAGAATCGTGATGAAGTTGCTTACAGTATGAACACTCCGGAATGTCGCGTAGTGCAGAATGACAGAAGTAAAGCAAAATGTGAGTCAACAACAGGACCCACGACTGAAGAGTAATACGAATTCACCTCCCGTTTTCTTGTCACAGTTCCAAATGCTTTGCCTCCAGCTGGTGGCACGATAAGGTGTTGTTCGACGCTTGTTCTGACGGCAGCACAAACTTCGATCCAAAGACGAACGATAGGTTGAAGAGCAGCTGGAGCCGCTGATTCCCGTACATCGGAGTGGTTCCATAGCTACAACAAAGATCTTAAAAGCTCTATCGTACAGTACCTAATGAGGATTTCACAGCTCTCTCGTTCTGTACTTCAGAAGGATGCGCGAGCAAACCACAAACAACAAATTAAGCCCCACTTACATTTTGCAAATGTTGGTGAAATCTCAGGTAAGCGGCAGCAGCCATAGCATCCTTTACCAAATGTTCATGCCATAGAAAGGCTGCAAACACGGCGCGACAACATTCGACTACGGACGGGCGCAAAGCTGACGCCATTGAGGTGGAGCTGGAATGTTTATGTTTAGGGCTAGACCAGTATGCTGCGAAGGGAGCTCCAAGAAAAGATCAGCTCTGTATGTACTGGAGAAACCGGAGCGGCTCATAACTCCCGGGACTTTTAAGAATCAACATCCTCACCCTTGGTGTCGAGCAGGCGGTGATCGTTCTTCTTCCTCGTTACCATTTATTGACAGCGACTGAGATTGAATCGAGCTTCGACCAATAGAATTCTGAAAGCGTCAAAATGATTTACGGAACTCCTAACAACACAGCGGGGGTAGGGGGGGGGGAACACGGAACACGAGAATGGGGTCATGACGTTCGGGATGAATCAAGCGCCCAATCCCTCAATAACGCGATGAGCTTTGGAAATAACGCGCTAGTAAATACAAAATTCGGCAAATGTTACCGATTTTCTCAATTCACACTGTATGACTGTCCGACGAATTTCTTCCCAGAATTGAAGAGAAGTGCATAATAGGTCTCCACTTTAACTTTCTTACTGCCTGCGTCGCATTGTACAACTATGGCTATGAGAAATTCTGAATCTGTTGCACCTATAAAGCGCTTACGTTGTGTCGCCGACTAGCATGAAATGTCGCAATCACATGGAACGTTAACTCTAAAAAGGCATTTGACCGATAGAGAGTATAACTCAGGAGACGTGTATTGCAATCGCAAACGGCATCGCCCTATGCCTATTTTAGGTTTGAATACCGGAAAGATAAAAAAGTGAACGAGCTGCTTTACTGCTCCATCCGAAGCAGAGTTGTAGATTTGAAACAGATGAATCTTCTTGCTTCTCTATCAAGGTTTGAGAGATTGATCATACCTACCTCTGCTAGGATAAACTGATTGGTGTTTGCTACTCGGACCCAAACGCCATGCTGATTCGATACCCATCCACTTCCTTCCAGTTCGGTTCGTCCTTCGAGCCATGCTCCTTCGATTAGGGCGTCAGGAGACGGCCGGCTGTACAACTGAATGCGCTGGGAGGCGTCCAATATGTAAGTCTAAACTCATAAAACTCAGAATCATTTAAAAAGAGCTGTTGACTAGGTAGAAGGTACAAGTCAATAAAATTCAAAGGAGATTATTTCAGTTATGCTTTGCTCAGCAAAGGGTCATAAGAGTATCCACTAGCAGGGACGAAGACGATTCCGACGATTCAAGTGAGAAAGAACCTCAAATGTTTTGTATAACCGTACGCGCTTTGAACACATTTCCAGTAAAAATAATCTTTCCACGCCTCACTAAGCTGACAGCTGCAGATTTAGGCGGCTATAAAGGAGACGATATTGATCTGGAAGAAGATCTAGAACATTCGCCTCCCGAAAACTCTCTAAGTTTTCTTCTAAACCGAGATGATCTTCTTCATAGCCATTCAAAAATGTAATTCAGGTTCCAGTTTGTGAAAGCAATAGGAATTACCTCGTTTGCGTCGATGATGACACTCTGTTGGGTGGATGAAGCCTGTAACGTTGGTGGGTCTTCCTGACGTCTTACCGGCAGTCTATCCACAATATCACTGGCAATCGGTATCAGCTCTCGGCGGAGGTGTTGATGATATGCAAGGCACCACACCTGAAATTGAAGGAAATGAAAATTTGAAAAGTGAAAACTTAAGAAAAGAGGTAATCCGATTACTACATTAACATAAAAATTCAAAGGAGACCGTAACAAATCACAAATCAAATCTGCTACAATCAGTTATGTGAAGCCTCATGTAGTGTACGGCAGAAGCAGCCAGAAATTAGAACTATTGTCCGCTTTATGCCATACTACATCAGCGTAACTATATAATTGTGGTATGGAAATATAATCGAAGGGCTGAACAAATGTAGTACCTGCCCAGAAACGTTGCCGTGGCCATAGAGCACTGCTGTTTCGTCCGTCAATCGCAGCCATTTTCCGTCTTCGTTCTCGATTTTTTCAATGTATGCAATACTACCACCCCTAAAGAGCGCTTTTAGGAAAACAAAACGTTCATTAACCGGTTGCACCATATTCCAGTGCTACGTCACTCATCTCACATGTCCCTATCCCTCTTTCTACCTCCTTAAAGAATTTTTCAATCACCTCGGTATTGTTCCAACACAAGGTGCCGTCAGCGAAGTGCCCAGGCGCATTCGTATTGCTTGAAACGGTAGAGTTGCCGGGATCGTAGCCTTCCTTGCTCTGAAGAAATTCAATACATTTGAAAAAGTAAACGAGAAAAAGTTTAATACATTATACCAGAAGATTATTCCGGTCGCAACTATCCCGAAAGATAACATGTTACATATTAGAGTAGATTTCATCACCAACACCTAAATTCGGACAAAAGCTCCTACCTGCTCAGTTGTGCTGCACGATGTTCTCGACGTTTCACGTTCTCTTCTCGCTCGGAGATCTGCAAGTGCAATTTTTAGAGGTGTAACAGAGAGCTGTTCGGAATCCTGGAGAGTGAGAGGTACCCATACGCTTTTGTGTATTTTGAGATAACTCATTACCTACAGAACACCTCGCTATCTTCAGACGACGTTGCCCACCGTCTAATTCACAAGCCCCGGCTTATACATTCTGCCTCTGCTGAACGCCATTATTGCTTTTTGAAGTGCCACCTTTATAAGCTACGCTGACAAGCAAACTACTGCAATCTTCTTGGGCTCGTCAGACTTGAGGAAATGCAATAAATACTGGGAAAAATACCTAGTTATAGGTCTAAAACTCCGCAGAAGCAAAAATTCAAACAGTAATTGTGCATAGAACTTCAAGAGCCTCACCTCGATAAGGTAATTGTGCGTTAGCTCACAGCCATCAACCCGACATGCTACGCGATAGCTTCCAGCTACAGACGGCGTCCACTCGCCCTCGAATCTAAAACCGAGGGTAGTTTTGATCGAGAAGGGCAAGATGTCGGACAGTGATGGAATCCAACAATAAACGAAACCTACGTGCAATTATTCTTGTGTTTCAAAATGATTTTCTCCCGTACCACAGTTGCTTTGGTGAAGCCAAGTCGAATCTCCTCATAGGAATAGTTCGTGTAGGCAGGCATTGCTGATATCGACATGTAGCGACATCGATTCATCAGAACCGGTTGGAAAGGATTCTAAATCAGTTTACGCTGAGAAAAATCGGGGAAAAAAGATCGAAGTGATAGATGTTGGTGCTGAATAGCTCCAAAATTAATAAGGCCAACCATACAGCAATTTAAGATGTCTCGAGATACCTCAAAGATGCAGATCCATGGATTTCTGTAACCAACCCTAAGCACTCATGGTATGGGTTAGAGCCCGCTAACTTTCTCTACACGTGGACAAAACCTATCATCCACCCCATATGCCGCAGCGGATAATGTTACCCCCACTGCGTATGCTACAGAGGGTACAGTAACCTTTCAGAGAATGACTCTAATACTCAATTCTTACTAGTAAACCAAATCTAAACTAGATCATGACGGAGTGAGGTGAGTCTGCTTTCTGAAGGTGAATATTCTATCAGCTAGATCTGCTAGTTCTGCTAAATCAAACGGACTAGCCCAGTCTATTCATAGATCGCTAACTGCTTCGGTATATGTATATGTACTTGCATAAAAACAGAAAAAAAGTTAGTTGACCAAGACCAACCCGTTTTACGGTCGATTGGCATTCTTACTTTCCCAAAAGTAATATGCACACAGGGTATTCTCCATTCGAGGGTCAACCTCTTTCTTTCACTGTAGGTTTGGTGTACGCCCCGCCGTACCTCTGAGTGCCTATTGATACGCTCCATACTTTAGGTACGGTGCACGCCCTACAGTACTTCTGAGTGCCTATTGGTTCGTTCTATGCAGTAGGTACGGTATGAGACCTACCGCACCTTTGATTGCCTATTGGTTCGCAACATACTGTAGGTACGGTATACGCACTACCGTACTCCTGAGCGCCTACTGGTTCATTTCATACTGTACATATAGTATACTTTCCACCGTACCCTCAGTGCTCATTGGTTCGCTCCATACTGTAAGTACAGTATGCACCCAACCATCCTCTGAGTGCCCATTGATTCGTTCCATACTGTAGATACAATTAGTGGCTACAGTACCTCCAAGTTTTTATTGGTTCGTTTCATACTGTAGGTACGGTACAGCCCTACCGTACTCTCAAGTTATCATTGAGTCTTTTCATGCCGTACGGTGTAGCTCCACGTTACCTATAAATGCTTACAGGATCGTTTCGTACTGTAGATGGGGTGTATCCCCCACCATGCTTACCCTGAGTAACTGACGGAATATGGACTCAAGCAATGTGCAAAACTGCGGTTGCCCCACCAATGATTCTACAGTACGCCACCGTAGCACTCTCGTCTGAAGCGCTGTGAAAGGTTCACTCACTTTTTTGATGACTTCCAGCGAAGGAAGAGCAGCAGATGCGAAACGAGCTGACGAATAGATGGAGGCATCACCAGCTGTCATCGAGACTTCAACACACATCGATGAGCACATCACTTCACGGTCGAACTGATCTTTCGTAGTTAGGCGTACCTAAAGAAAAATCGGATTTAGAAGACATTGGATAGACTTCACAAGAAAATTATTCGCGGAGCAAATTATTCGGTGATACCTTTATAGGCTTTCCGACAACCATGTCTGTCTGAACAATGGTAAGTTGGCATCGCGCTGGATCTACTACTGGTCCAGAGGGCAGCCATCTTGCCAGATATCCTGCTGTTGATGTTGCGCAGGCAGAAAGGAATTCACGAAGAAATACCAAATCTAAATAAATATGTCTTTAGTGACAGACATTTATCTTTGGCTAGAATGAAGACTTGATAGAGGAGACTAGGTGATTAAACAATCTTTCGGTTTGAAGGCAGCGGATGAACTGGGATTCTGGCAACCTATCTCTGCTCAGAATATCAGAGTTGTCTCAGTGGTCCAACATAGGAAGGCCTGTTGGATACATGGCAATTCGTCCATGCTGCTTAAAGTAGAAGACCGAAGTCGTGAAGTGATTTGTTCGTATAATTAAGCACTGATTTCTACTTACTGTTTTTGTTTACTTAGTGATCAGGTAAGCAAAATTCCAGAATTTCGCATGGGAGCTTCGAAAGGAAAAGTTAAGTGGCATGACACAAAGAAAAGGTCGAACAGCGAGAAACAAGAAAAAGAGAATGCAATGATCGCTTGTGATAAATTTTCTCACAAAGTCTATTCGCACCGTTGGATGTACCCTCTTTTGAAGCACTTTCCGCTAACTGACCTGCTGACTGTGCCGATTGCGGTAAGCCTTTCTGGATGATCTCATTCAACGTTGGTGCATGGGTCAAGCTTAGACCTTTCTTCAGTAGTGACCCGTGCTTTTCTAGCAGTATCCTTGTGTCATCTTCGGCAGTTGACAGGTGGTCTAATGACGATGCGTCCGAGGATAACTGGAATAGATGATCTCATTTGGGCAAAAAGTTCAATTCCTTTCGTCTCAATCTCAAACAGGAATCCATTCAACTCCGACAGGTTTCTACGAAGGTTTTCAAAGGAGCGCTTAGTTGCGAGCATGTGGCGCCATGCACAACACAGCGGCTGTCAATTCCCATCCCGTAAAAAATCAAAAGAAATCCTTTGAAAATGGAGATTAAACGTTCACGAATTCAGAAGCCACCGAAAATCCCCTCCTGCCCCAATTATATAACCCAAAACGGGTAAAAATTGCAACAGTCAATCAGCAGTGGACATATTTTTTATTGACTTATCAACCCTGAACCAATCAACACCCCCAAGCTGTCCCATTTCATGGCAAGCCCCGGCTGAACTTTCAACTTGATCAGTAATTGACTGCTACAGCGTGTCATTGTCCTCATCGGTCGCCGAATTTCCAAAACAAGGCAAAAATAGAGTCAGCCGCACCTGAACCATAACTCGACAAGCACTTGCGGACAGCCATGCCAGTTCTTGTTCAAGTCGCAAGTTTGAGTCCTTGCGAGCAGCAGGATAACCAGTTACGGTACAATGAAAACCATACATCTGAAAAGAGAACTAGTTGACGTTGGCTTGAGCCATCATTTTTGCGTAATTTGAAAATTATCGTAGGGCTTTGATGACATTACCTGTTCAGATGTCACTCCGTCGACTTCCGCCGTCGTCTCCAACACGAACCACAGTGAGTTTCCTGGTAGAAGAAGTGGAGTCGTCGGCCAGTCTTTCGACCCGAAATACCTGAAGAAAAAATGATAAAGAAACAGGCAAGCTACAAGAGCATAGAGTAGAGAAAGATTGAGCCATGCCCAAGACATATGAGACAACTCTGATTGTCATGCCTGTCAGCCTATGAGACTCATGTGATTTTGAATTCCGATCATCTATTATGCCCACTGCCTACAAAATAACATTTATAGCAACTTATTTTCTAGTCTATTCTAAAACTGATTTTTCTTTTTTTTATTTTTCTATTTTCTATTCTACTTTTTTCTACTTTTAATAGTTTTTCTTATTTTACCATTGTCTTCTTACAAAATTCCAGAAACTGAAATTCGAATATTTAAGTTGTGATACAAAGTTTTTTTCGGAGACTAATGTTTTCGACAAAGATCTTGATACTATTAATCACCTTCCGACAGGGACGTAGCTCTCTTTATTCACTCCCATATACACTCGCAGCTGATCATCGGCTTGAGCTGTTTCACATGACGGTGAGAATTGTAAGCAAAGGAAATGCACTGATTCATCAAAACTGACGACCTGAAAATATTACGCTAAACCCCTCTGAAGTTTCATTTTCCCTTAAATACGAGAAAAATTGAAAAAAAANNNAAAAAAAACAGCTTCAGGCATGAACAACGAGTCCAAAAAACTAATTGTAAGTACCGGGACTCAGCAGTGAGCTTCAAACCTTTCTGCTCTTGAGTGCCATAAACGAGTAATGCTTTTTTTCTATCTAAAGCTCGGTAATTCTCAGACTATTGTTTCATACACGATCATCCCTGACTTTCTAGTATGAGCACCATAGGAGTAGGTTCACTAACAGCTGCTTCAATTTTCGAAAGCTCTGCTTTTCAAAAGGTGAAACTACCCATGGCAGCAGCCAGACGTACTGTGGGGTTATGTACCCCGGTGACCTCAGATTTAACCCGTAGCTTTAGTAGGAGTTAGCATAATAAACTCTGAATGGGCCTTACCGTCGAGTGAACGTTGTTCGTCTTGTACGGGTGTGGACTTTCGACGATGACCTGAGCCGTTTTTGCCTCACAGATCTCCGAATCGTGCTCGGACGACTCACTAAGGGTACTCGCTTTCATTGTACCATTCACACTTGATACCATCGGTATCAGTTGTTCGAGAACGCAGGTGACCTGAATCAATATAAACAATTCAAGGTAGAGAAGGATAAAAGCGGAATCAATCCCAGATTCAATCAATAGGGTATAAGAACATTTATCTTTTTCTGACCTCAAATAAAAAATCATAATTTGAGTGATGAGTTACGGAACCTATATTGCTGATTACAAATAAGCATTTATAAGGTATAAAGATATGACAGTACGGATAAAACATTTCACATCGAAACCGACCTCCATCGCTTTGTTGGGGAACAACTCCATAAAGACCATCACATGTCCAGATATTCGTGAAATAAGGGATCTGAAAAATTTATTTACTCATTCCGTGCTTGTTGGATCATGTAGGAAGTAACGATTTTTGCCCATTCCACCATGTGATCCTAGAAAAGTCCTATTCTCCCCTCCCTGATCAAGCAAGTCTTCCACTTTGAGACTGGGAATTACACTCTAGGCTTACCAGAAGCGATAAAAGTTAACGTGGACGTCAAGTAGCTTCTGTAAGTGAATGAACAAGACTGGAAGAGACGAATGCTGCGGAATCTTACATAAAAAGTCTATGCGCGACATATTACCAGAAAAGGACACAGTTTTACCATAGCTTTTGACGCCTGAGCAATTTATAATATCTACATCCTCTCGGTCAAACTATGGGTTTACTCTCGAGTTGGAACCCCCAGGTACATATAGGCAGAACATCGTTGTAAAGCCAAACACCACCCAATACAAAATTTCTCGAAAAGGGAGACCTCAAAATCGCAATTCAGGTTCGCATATACACAAAAAAGTAGGTACAGCTAGACTCCATACCTTGCACATTGTGGAATGTGGCCATTAACGAGGAACGCTCCGATTTTATTCGACAAAAGACGTAGAAGCATCACATATGACTTATGCACCTGAAAAACGAACTACGAGAAATTGGAAAGCTACAGAAAGAGCGGAGCTTGAGCTGAAATCTCAGAAGAGGTGAAGCCTCTGGAAAGGTAATGACTAACCTCCTCTTTCACTTCGGTGTTATCTGACTTTTCGGTCTCCACTATTGAGTACAGGAAGTACGGTATCTGTCCACGCTGTAGCGAAGTACCATTTTCACTGAGTGCGCACGAGGAGAAAGTGACACGAGCGCCGTTGTTCAGTCGAATGTAGTTGACTCCTCCTAAACTTGACACCTTATCAGAAGCCGTTCCTGGTAGTACGTCTGCAGGGGAAAACGTTCTCGGGAGGATATTCTTTCTGTAACGCAATCATTCTCGGTCCCTTTTTTTGCTGAGAACAAATTCATTCGAGGAGTTTGTTGAGATGAGATGCGATTGAGAGAATAGGTCAGTAGACAAAAAATAAGGAAGAAGGAAAAATGAAAAAAGAAGAAAGGAGAAGGAAAAACAACAAGGAAAAAGGGTGAAGGAAGGAAGGAGGAAGAAGAAGAAAAGAAGGAAAAAGTGATATACACAGTTCCAGAAGGAGTGCCCAGAAAGTAAAGGAGGAGCTTCGAGGGAAGCGATAGGTAAGGGCCAAGAAAACGAAGGACGTCACGAAGTTGGGTGTAGGCGCTGATGCTGCTTCCATGCCTACACATCACGAGCGGTGCATCACCCATATAAAAATGGTTGAGCCTCTTCTGAAGCTTCTTACCTTCTCCACAGTAAGTCTTCCCGTTCTCCGGCGTCCACACTTTGATGGCATACGTTACTCCTGTAGCCATCGTGATGGATTCTGGCAGAACTATAACACCAGTGTCGGCCGTTCCACCGCTGTTCAACTCGCATGAGGTTTTCGCCAAGAGCGAGAACTGATCACCTTCGCGAAGCACATAAACCTGAATAAGAGAGATGCAGCTGAGAAACAATCCAACAAGAATGAGATCCATTTCTGGGAGAAGCCCTACCTCGCAATGCCATGACCGCCTGACTTGTTCAGCATGCAGATAGACACCGACACCTCGAAGTGCAATTCGTCCCCCATCTACTCGTATACAAATAGCATCTGTTGCACCTTCAGACATGTCCCATGCACATACTGCACTTCGTCGGCGGAATCTTGAATATCCTCGAGTGATATACCAGTTATATTAATGTTCTAGAAACTCATGATTTTTTCGATATGAAAAGGTATAAATTCATGACAGGGAACATAAGTGCACCGGTTTTTGGTTGGATCAAATTTTGAAGATACAAGAAGGTTTTCTGATACAACAAAAAGGGTTCTGTGACAGCAGAAAATCCGACGATTGCTTGAACAGTGCCTATGCTTAGGCTGCTACACAATTCATGAGAACCTATCGAAGTTCCTCAAGTGATCCCGGAATTACACGCTATGAGTTTAGACATGGTTACAGCAAAAACGCTTTCTATAAAGTCAAGAAGTACGAATGAAATGTAGAAGACGTGGCGCATTACCAAAAGAATCGACCACTTTCGTCTTAGATATTCAAGAATTCTAAGACTAAAAATTTAAACCCAATCAATTACCTTATAGACGACTGTACAATCGTGCTGGCAAGGGACTTGTGCACATCCGGGATAGCCAGCTCTTTCGATAGCTTTACTACAATGTCCTGAGCAGTGTTAGAGACATTCCAGGGGTCCTGCAACAAGGAAATAGGTGATCAAAGAACTTTAAAAAATTGAATAGCTCAAAAGACATCTAAAATGTAGCTGCGCCAGGGAAACTCAAAACGTCTGTAACGCTTCAAGAACTCTATGAGAACTATCATATCACAATCACCTCACAGCCGCAAAAATTCAGTATTTTTAAGGCCACAGGAGGGAAAATATTACATTCAGTAGAGCTCCGAACGATTGGGTCACTTGGGATTTTTACGGCAATTTTCGTGGTTTTTTCAAGTTTCATTTTTGAATTTTCCCAACTTTTCTATTTTTTCATCAAAGCCAACTAATAGGGGTGAACAGGACCATGCTAGTAACAAGATAGACTACATCTAAATTGCTCTAAAAGTTACGTCAGAAAATTAGGGTTATGTGGCCAAGATAAAGGGCACGGCAACCATATGAAAGAAGACGGGAACCAACTCAGAAATACCTACGTTTGTCTCATAGAAAGACTTTTCGTAAAGGAATCGCAGGATATTCGGCAGCGCTGTCAGGGTTTCCACCCTCTGACTGTCCATAGTGAAGTGTTCAGCTAGCTGTTTCGACAGCTGAGGAAATCTCACAAAATCAGTTCTGTGGAGAAAGACGTCGATCAGCTGAAACAAAGTGGCAATCAATCAATTTGAAAACCTCCAACAGCTTTGAGCTGTACCATCTTACCGTATCTCTCTTCGCAATGCTCCCAATCACTGCTGCAATCAGTGGGTGACCGATTGGACTCGAGATGGCTAAGGCAAGATGGCAGAGAAGAAGATGAAGAGATGGCATGAAACATGACGAGATCCCGACAAACAGACCAATCGCCTCACTCAATACAATAGAGAGGGAGAAGTTCTGGAATGTTCTGGATTACTTCCGGAGGGAAGCATGACTCTACCCAATTCCTTCCTACCTCTTCCTGAATACAGTCACTGGACCGATCGAACATTGTCAGAAGGGCCGAATGTAGAAGAACTACGGTATCCGCAAAGGACGACGACGGTTCTTCAGTGTCACCAGCAGGACGATAGACCAGCAAGACGTAGCGACTGGAGCAATCGATAACTCTTACCCAAAAATCAATATATCGATTGTAGTATTGGTTTATACCTTAATATTCGCATAACGATCATTGCGGTAGCAGCTGCTCTTTCAGTATTCCACAGTCGCTGGTCAACTTCACTATGGGACTCAAAAACCCGTGTCAGAGCCCAATCCAGTACACGTAGGAGCGCCAGAAACGCATTCGGGGATACGGTATCCATCGAGGTGGACGAAAACAGTCGAGAGTTAGCACTGAAAACCGAGCCATAATATAATTACATTAATTTTAATAAAAACAAATAATCAAAAAATCATACCTATTTCAGAATTAAATTTTATTTCTTATTTTCTCGATATATCTCTTTTTTTTCGCTCGAGTTAAAATGAATTTAGGTCATTTCATGAAGCGTGTCGGACGAATAAGAAACCAGTGGAACATTTCAGAAAAAAAAAATCACAATTTTTCGTTGATACCTTGTATTCTTATATCCCATGCTCTTCAAAGAAAAGAACAGGAAGCTAATGAATAGATGTGAAACTCACTAGTCTTCTGGCTTCTCATCTTCATTTGCCAAACCATCGCCAGAGGAGGAGACCACCTGAAAACAATTAGTCCCGAATAAAAAAAAAAGATCAAGAAATATGTATACTCCGTTTGGGAGAGCGTTTCTACGAACTTTATCACCTGGACAGAAACTACTCAAACTAGAAAGCCATGGGAAAAGCCACCGCAATCGCCTTACTGTCGATTGATTCAGTAAAACTTGTGGTTGAAATATTAGACAAGGTGGCATGAACTAAGCAATTTAAGAACACATCGCAAAAGCTTCGTTTTGAAGCTCGCCCCTGGAATCTGAGCCTACAGCCCTCGCAGAAAAGGTAAGAGTAGCCTTGAATTGGGTAGGAAAGAACCGTGGACCAAATCCTGCCACCATGTTCGACACCCGTAGCTCCAGACTAAACACAACCGAATACAATGTTACCCACCCAGCCAACCGGGCTCGCATCCGTAGGCGACTAAGGTACAAGAACTGTCTGGGAGAATGAAACCACTAATCTGCAATGAAACATCCTCCCTTCCCTCCTATATCCCATAAGTGTCTTGTGAAGGCGACAAGTCCAACCAGAGTCATTAGCCACCCAAAGAGTCCGAGTCCACTGGTAGTCCGAATGTATAGGTCATTTCCAAATTTAGCTTCGTCATTCTTACCTGATAGTAAAGCTCTGGTATTTGTCCGACATTCACATCCGTGCCATTGTTGGAGATGGCCGAGTTGCGAAATGTAAACGTAACATCATCGCATTCAACTACTCGACGACCCGTCGCTCCACAGTCTGATGAAGGACCGCTGGAAGATACTTGTCTAGAAACCACTGTCAACATCGCATAACGTGAGCTATTGGTCAACTAGGCTTCCACCGCCTATAATCGGTCTACCGACTATCTGCTTGCACTTCAGAATTGCTTTTGAAATAATGATGAAACAGGAACTTATTCCTCACTTGGAAAACTCTCCTTTTACTTGAAGGTGGAATCAATTAATTAATTATGACGACCATGGCCTAACAATAGATTGGATAAGCAATTTTCGCCCCTCTCAAAGCCGCCAATGCAAAACTTGCTTGTTTTTTTGAAAACAATAACATAAACTCGAGCTTTTAAAGGCACTGTTGACAAAAAAGTAAGGATGCCCTTTTTTTGACGGTAATAGGTAGAACTACTTCAGAATAAAGCGATAACAACGAAAAAGCGCAAAAAAAACGAGCAACAAAAAGTATTACAAAGGGACAAAAAAAGTGCTAGAAAGTGGGGTTGGACATCTTTCACATTGGAAAACGGCGGTTATGGAATGTTCGGACGAGTGCACGAAGGCGACGCAATGTGTTGTCTGCAATAGCAGACATCACATTGCGTCTCTGGCAATTTGCCAACCAGCTTATCGACTTTTTACCAGCTTCGCTCCAGTGCGAACGTGTTGAAGGACAACTTGAACACGTAGTCAACCTAACGAGGGGCGGAGGCATCGCGTCCCCCACTGTTCCTGGCCTTATTGTGCCCTATCCAGCCGTTTTCCGACCTAATTCCTGCACAAATGTTATCAGAGGGGGCTCAGAATTCTAACCATGTGCATATCTTCGAAACCATTTAGTCGTTAACAGTGCCTTTAAGAACCTTCTACACCATGGTATCGGGAATAAATGTTTCGTATGCTTCTGCAGTGATGGGAGGAAGTCAAATGGCCCGAAATAGCCAAGCAAGAATCAGCTTTCTAGTGAACTGCCGTCGATTGGTCCCAAATTACCAAATTCGCGGCTTTTTGGGGCCAAAATAGGGATAAGAACCAAATACATTTGGGTATAGTCAGGACGACCCATAAACGGTTCACCACCTTTTGGCCTGTAAAAAATAAAGTGTTCTGATACTAGTAGCCCAAATCACTGCGTGCGTGGTGACCTAGCTTGGTGCCGCAGCGATCGATGGCGCCTCCTGACCCATATCCCCCCTCCGCCTCAGCTTGCTTACATGCGAGAACCAGAACTTGGAGACCTATTGGCTATAAAAAGCGCTAGCTTCTACTCAAGGAAACTAAAAATAAAAGATAATAAAAAAGTATATATAGTATATGAGACTAGTTATTCCTTCTGCGACTCTCCTTCTAATCTCAGGAATTCACCTTATTTTGGCGCTGACCACATGCCAATGATTTGCTTTCATTAGCACTGGCTGGGCTAACATCAACGCAGCCGCTTCACGCTGACCACAATCGTACAGTGTTTCGTCCGACTCGGACAGCATCTCGGCGCATTGTTCATCCGAAATATCGCTCGGTAATCGAAATAGCTTGATTCTGAAAATTAACATCTGAAAATTATAAGAAGAACGGGCAGATCGCTACAATAATCTTCATCTCTGTAGATTCTTGGAGCTCACTTTGCAATGTACTCTCCACGACCACCATACAGACCAATTCCCAGTAATCGTACATCTTTACTCGCTTTCACTTGAATCGCCTCTATTGAGTGAGCGGAATAGCCCCAGCCTTGAAAGAATTCATTGACGACAGCATAATCCCTCCTCAAAAGTCAGCAGTAACCAGTAAAGTTACCTCCTCCGGTTGATTCGAATCGACACACAACTGATCGGCCACTAGTTGGCGATCCGCCATGTTCGGGAGAGCTGATGAAATCCTTGAAAAAATTGGCAAAATGCTATTGAAGGGAAAGTTTTTAAAAGAACAGATAGGCCAGACCCTTCCCGCTCCCAGACAGGAAATCCTTTAGAAGGCTTACCTTTTCATTCCACAGCTTCCCCTTAGAGATGGTGGCAGCTGCGTACGTGCAGCTCAGCAGGGTGATACCCAACTGGGTTGATGAGCAGTGTGTGGGCGACTCCGATGGTACAGTCCATTCAGGAGAGCGTAGAAACGCCAATGAGTCCATACGGTCACCAAGCACCTGCACGATCAAGGATGAACACAAAAATAATTTTAAAAATGAAATTAATTTAATTCATATCGCATCTGGAACCTAATCTATTTTTTAGAAGCTTAGAGTGTTCATACGAGCGAGAGCTGCGATTAGCAACTGATGAAAACAAAAACTTGCAGCGACCTCAAAAAAAGGGATGGACCGAAGGATGTTACGTGAAACGTAGAAAAGAGTTAGAAAAGTCGGTATTTTCTGGCGAAAACTGTTTTGAACTTTAAAAATCTCAAAAAGAACACTTTGTAGGCTCCATTTTCATTTTTTATCTTTACCTCTTTCGGTGTAGCCAAATGCACGGATGTGGCTTGAACACGCATTTCAGCTGCATTGTATGACCAGAGGATATCATGCCGTGACTCCAGACACCAACTAAAACGATTCAAAGTATTACTCAATAGCAGAACTCGGATGTTAAACCGACTGCAGTACTCAGTACTTGTTCAACAGTTTCCTACCTCGTATAAAGACCAGTTGGTCCAAGTTGATGATGAGCAAAACTGCCATGTTTCCTACGGATCGCCACGTATTCTTTGCCAACTTGTCGTGGGAAGATGAAGAGGTCATTCTGAAATGTTAATGAAGTTATCAATTCTCAAATTGGCTCATTTCGATTTTGACATTTTGACTTTTCGCCTCTCAAGGAACCCTCCGCTCCCTAACCACACAGTGGCTGCTTCCATAGTCCACGATTTGGCGAGCGACCGATCGCGGACCTATCGAGCGAGCGACCGAGTGACCAGTCGCGCGACTAGGTGCGAACCTATCGAACTCGCCAAATCGTGGACTATGAAAGCAGTCTGTAAGTTAGCCAAGGAAGAGTGAGTAGGAATCCTTACTCCATTTCCCGACCCTCACATTACATAGAAAGCCGAAGATTACTCCCCTCCTGAAGGATGATCATTAGAACCCACTAGGTGCTTTCAGTGTTCAACGCGTGCCCACCGACCGACCGAAGGCGTTCCTGGACGCGTGTTAACATTACTGACAACAATGGATCAAGCGTCCTCACGAC